CAGAGAGAGAGAGAGAGAGAGAGAGACAGAGACACAGAGAGAGAGAGAGAGAGAGAGAGTTACCAATTACCTTCAGTATGTGGGCTTTTTAGTGTCCAGGGTGCTATATATACATACATACACACACACATAAAACACAGAGCACAGGGTAGTTTTTTTCTCCTCTTCCATTTTAAAAGTTGTGAAGTTGACTTAAATAGCAGATTGAATTAATAGAGTTTGATGTAACTTTCCATCCAGTGTGGATCACGAGAGATTAAATTATCATCAACCAAATCTGCTATACAGATTAAGAATAATTTGCAACAATCTGAAATTTATCTTTCTTAACACCTAGTCATAAAACATGTCGCCACATTATATGAACACATGTGTTGTGTAACAGATGCACAGATACGCTGGTATTATGTAGTTCCATCAAAGACGAACAGCAACATTTTGCTTTCTAACAGTTCGGTCTGAAGATATGTTTTCATAAAAATTGTTTTAATGGAAATTAAAATTTTGTGATAAAGATTTTATTTGCTAAATGTGTGTTATATAGCAATTGTTTATAAAGATACAAAACAAAAATCTTTTAAGATGCGTATATGTTTGTACTACGTGGCTGGAGACATTTCAGTACAGATACCCGACACCTTTATTTAGAAAACAATGTTGTTAAGAAACCACTCTGATCATATTTGTGTCACAGGACTGATCGCTTGTTTTGCCTTCATTGTGAGGCAGATATTAAATGAATGTATCTTCACTGGACTTAACTGTTTGTAGATCATGTTACTATTTAACGGTAATGCAAAGCTGGTCTGCCAAAGCCATAAACAGTTATGTTACCTTGTTGTCAGGTACGAGTGAAACGCTGAGTTGGAACCAAAGCCAGGTATCTGCTTGCTATCTTACGGAGTCTTTCTGTCCCGACAGCGTTACTTTTCTTTGATGCGCACGTGTTCGGATATTTCTTCAGCCTTGGCCTCTCCATACACTTTCTAAACCATTTTGGGGTCTATACCCTCCACTTCACCCCCCAAAGTAAATATTTGTAGCACCTTCATGCATATAGAGCAGGAAGTGGAGGAGAATGTGGTTCTTCCAGTCCACAGCCACACCTCCTACTACATACTGAGTGCAAGGCGTTATGGTGCAATTCATGAGGCCATCTGATAAATATGTAGTGACTTAATGAAATTTCTTCAAGGAAATGTGCGCTGTATGTTTCTGAATTTTTTTTCCAATGTTGTCTATAAGGGACTATAGCCCTTGGGTTAAACAGCTTTGCCTTCCTGCTTTAAGAAGAAGCATCAATTTTATGGAAGTATTAAAAAATGATCTGGAATGCAGTTTCACAAACTAGCTGCCTATTTAATTTCTCCAGGCTCTTCAGAGTCAATTTAACAGCACAATCTCCCATTCAGAGCATTATGATTCTGAAAGGGTTTGCCATTTATATAAACTATTTCCTTTGAAGTATCAGCTGTTACATTTTATGTAAAAAAAACAAATTATGTACTTATCCATTTATTTTTGTGTTGTTTTATATTTATAAATTCTGAATGAGAAAATTCTGTAGCAAAGAGTTTCTGACACAGAAAATGTGTTGTACGATAACTAGAACTATTACAATTTAAAGACTATAATTATCAGCTTTTTAGTTTGAGCACTTTTTATCAATGGTGACAGTAGTATAATTACTGGTGTTTTAGTCAGAGTTACAGTATGTATCCTGAAGCTCAGATTTGACCTATGATCTTTGAAGATGGGACCTTGTCTTTGATTCTAGGGGAGATAAAGACTAATAGCGTGGGGGAGCAACAGTTACTGCTCCTTCCCCTGCCCCATGTTAAATATTAATTAGAAAATGACCAGGACTTTTTAGTGTCAAGGGCAATTGAGGATTTTGGACCCCCCAGGTCTTCAGACTATGAATTGTAACTCCAGAAAACACATGGTTCTGTCCCATTAGTTTAGCATGTTTTGTTTTTTTGTGTTAGAGAAATGAAAAAAACCTGTTATACAAGATGGGAAAGGTGCGTATCACGTGCGTAGCTGTACAATCAGCTAATAGATTGCTGTGCCATGACTTGTATGTAGCCAGAAACAGCCATTACTTAGTTCCCCTTTTGATTTTATGGAATATGTTGTGTGTGATATACTGTAAGATAGTTGTGAAAAATCCCCAGAGAGTCTACTTCTTAGATTTGTTCATCAATTTCCTGATTCGAATCAAGAAACATGAGTTTTTGGCTGCGTAACTATTTGCCCTGTTTGTGCCCCACATTAGTCATTGCAAAATCATGGCATTGTTATTTTCTTCTCCCTTAGACTGGCCAACAAACAAGACAGAGATGGTGCATTGGCAGAGGCAGATATCATAGAGCATCTATCCCTGGAGAAGCTTGTGAATGAGAATAAATGTCTCTGTCAAATTGTGAGTACTCTTTTTGGGAATCAAACATGTATCTTTTGGCTGGTTGGTTGTGTTATTTTGAATGTAATGTGGTGCTAAGGTCAGATTCTGACACTTATGTTTGGCATATCATTATCAAAGATGGAGTTAAAGACACTATTTTTAGACTGTGTGGCATTCGCACTGCAGGAGCCCTGCTCAGCTGTAATTGGCTACGGGAAGAAGATGGACAAGTCCATTAAGAATGGGCTAAACTGGCTCCTGAACAACATTGCTAGGGACTACGAGGGTATCAGCGAGCGCGTGGAGAAGGATACTGCGGAGCAGAAGGCTCAGGAGGAGCTGGAGAAGAGGGAGCGAGGAGAGAGAGTCCGGCGAGCTCGAGAGGAGAGGTGAGCGTCCCAAGAACCCTTGGATGGCCTGTAAGGCAAGAATTGTTCCTTACAAAAACTCAGTTAAATATAATGGTTTTTCTAAATGAAAGGTAATCACAAAACTGAAGAGATAGCATTTATGCTTTTAAGAAAAAGCTGAGAGAAGGTAACCTTGGACACAGACCATAATGTCGCCCCACATGGCCTTGAGGTTAGCCAGCCTGTGTGAGAGCCTTGTGATTTTCTGAAATGGTGTTCTCTTCCGCAGGGATAAACAAGAGCGAGAAGAGGCTGAAAGGGAGGGGAGGACTGTGCAGACAGGGGAGGAGGAAGATGGTGCCAGTTTGTCTAACCCTTTCCAGCCGATTGCTGATGTCATCACAGAGGTGTGACATTGAGATCTAACCCCAACTCAACCCTCACACGCCCTTTTTTATATACTGGGTAGTTTTTACTTGAAATAGGTGAATACATAAAATGCTAACTCCTAAATAAAACAAAACTGAAGTTTTAGTTTCATAATAAATCATTAATTATTATTAATTAGTGCCGTCAAGTCAAAGTCATCTCCGAACATAAAAGGTTTCTTCAGAACTTTGTCTTTTGTAGAGGTCTTCAGGCTTCTCATACATGTTGTTTGCTGGTCAAACTCTTCTTTATCTTCAGTTTTTCTAATTGTTTTGGGCTTTTCCAGTATAGTGGGTCTTATCATAATATACCTGAAATAAGACAACTTCAGTTTGATTATTTGTGATTCAGTTTGGGCTTGATTTGATCTTGATTTGTTTTCCTCACAGACCATGGTGTTCTTAAGTCTTTGCTGGCCCCAAAGCTAATGCCATAGTTTTACATATTGACCTTCTGATATCCCCTGGTTTTTTCAGTTATCCATACACCCATCTCATCATCTTGTTCCTTGGCCTTTCCTGAATACATTGACTTTGGCTCTTTCAATTTTACTGCATTTTTATTGGATTTCTCTTGGATGACTTTGAATTTCATCTACAGTTCTTCTGGTCATCTATAAAGTGAGTCCAATGTCTGTAATTGGTTTCTGATGTTTCCTTGATGACAATGTGTATATTATTCACACTATTTCTTGGGTGTAGTTTATGATTTGTTCCATAATCTGCTTCAGGCCGTATCTTCACTCTTTGAACTGAGGTCTTTCATAGTTTGACAATGAGAAAATAGTCTGATTTCTGTAAACCCATCTGGCGATACTGAAGTGTAAAGATGCTTTTCACTGCTCCTTGGAGACTGAATTGGCAATGAAGATTTCATTGGATTTCCATCTAATCAGTCATTCTGCAGCTTTGTTTCTGCTTCTACGTTCATATTAGCTAATTGAATTTCTGATCTTTTTCCAATCTCCCGGCACCAGTAATATATAATTTGCATGACCTGTCTCAGCCTGAACCTGGTTAAACTTTGCAGTTTCCTCTTTATCCACATGAGTCTTTGACACATAAGCCTGCGTAACTGTTGTATTGAATGGGATTTATGTGATATGTTGTTCATTTATGATATTGTATCCAGTTAGCCTTTACAGTGTACTTCCTAAAATACTCACAGCTTTTCCTCTTTCCTAAGTAGTAAATGATGTGTTCATATAACTGAAAGTAGCCTAGTCCATTTAATTTTGCTAATGCTTAAGATGTTGACTTGTATGGATCCATTTTCATCTTTATCACGCCCAGCTGTCCCTGACTCATACTCTGTACAATCCATATTCCAATAGTAATCCTGTCTTTGCAGTCTCGGATATTCTTTCTCGGCATGGCAACATCATCAATTGGACTTCTATAAGTCTTTGATCCCACCACGTCTAAACATCAACCATATTCGGAAGAATCCTTAGCCCTTCCCCAGCTGCATGTGAAGTGCCTTTCTGCTGAAGCGGTTCTGTCTTCCAGTTCTATAATGTTTTTCATTCTGGCGTATCTGCCCATAAGTTTTCTTTGGTAAGGTATAGGAGTGGTTTTCCGTTGCCGCCTTCTGCACAATTTGAAATAGAGTCATTGCCATATTCAGTGCTGTGATCGTCTGTTGCCTGTGCTATTCCGTTGCCACCAAATCTAGGTGGTAGGCAGGGCTCCTTGCTGTCATACCATGACGAAATGTAATTTAGTAAGTAAGATGGTGTACAGCTTACACAACCTTGTTTGGTGATACGGTGGTTGTTGTGATGGCAGTCAACAAAAATTGGTATCAAATGTGGTTGAATCGTTTCACGTGAGAGAAAATATTTATTTACTGTTGTGTCTGGTGGGGGTGGGGGGGTGCAGAATGAAAATAAGCTGAAGAAGCTGAAAGAGCGAGAGCGGGAGGACATCTCTGAGGGGCAGCGGAGCCCCAGTGGAGAGCTGCAGACCTTCAGCAGTCCGGCCAGTCCACAGCATCAGCAGCCGGAGGAGGAGGAGGAGGAGGAGGAGGAGGAGAGCGAGAAGTTAACTGCTGACAGCGCAGACTCCGGTCAGTCACGCATTTTTCCTCACATTCATGTGCACGTGCTCCTCTGATAGGAAAAAGTCTCCACAAATGTTATGGTCCTACACATGTATACGAAGCAAAATAAAAAGTGGATTTTGGAAGAAAAAAAAAAACATAAAAATGGCTGTGTGGCCTGGCAGCCCTAATTTATGAAAAATCTTTCCAGTGACATGGGACACACAGGACTACAGGTTGTATCACACGTGTGTTTTACGCTTCAGCAGCCGATCAAACCAAAAAGAAAGCGAAGAAGCAGTGGCTGAAGCGGAAGCACAGGGTGGACCCCTTAAAATCGGAGGAGGAAGCCCCTGAGATGCGAACGCCCCCCCCTCCCCCTCCAGGTGACAGACACCATGACATGACTAATAACTGTACAATTATGACTCCAGTTCCGAGGAAGCCCAGTGTTTATAATGTCACTTGAATAATACTGACTGGTTACATTTTACTCATATCTTAAGTACATGTAATCTGTATTAGGTACAGGCAGTGTTATAAAATTGAGCATGTAAATGTCACAAGATCTTTTTAGCTAAGATGAGTTAACATCTTAAGCATCAGTACTTCTTGCTTTGTTTTAGTTGGATGGGCTACTCCAAAAGCCACTAGGCTTCCCAAACTTGAGCCACTTGGGGACACAAAGCATTCTGGTAATTCAAACTTCCACCTGAACTGTCTGCATGTTCATTGCTGATATACACTGGCTGTGATGACATTATGACATGGTGCTGTCTCTGCGTCACTAACCCACTGCATTGCTCAATGTTCCTGTCTGTGCATCCTTTGCATGTTTCATAGGGGTGACTTTGGAAGCCATAATGTAAAACCTAAACCAGTCATTGTTTACCTTCTATTTTCAGCTAAAATCAGCCAAATGTGTATCTCAATCTTGAATTTGTTTTAGATCAGTTTTCCAAATAACAAAAGACACTTCTATTGACAAGTTTTTTTTCTTCATTTTTAAGAGGCCTGGTTCGTATCACTAACATGCTTGTTTTTTGGGCTTATGTGCTTATTTCCTGTTTTCCAGTAACATTAAAATGCATGTGAAATGTCAGATTTTTGTTTATGTGATGAAATTAAAATGACACCTGGATTTAAATGTTTTTCGCCTAGAGGTATAATAGTTATTTTGAATATTTTAATAGGATTCATATTGTTTTGAAAACCTCATTATTATTATTGGCAGGCGGAAAAGTATAAATAAGATAATGAATTTATTTTTTAAAAAGTAAGGATGCACCAATACCGATACCAGCATCAGGTATCTGGACGATACTACGCTCATATGCTTATACTCTTACTCATTACCAAGAACCAAACCTACTTGATTGCTACATTATGTTAAAACTCAAAGCTGCTGCTTTTTTTTTTGTGCTACCCAATCAGATTTTTGCATCTAGCAAGGGATTTGTCAACCAGAAACATTTGGGAAAGATAAATGCACAGAACACCAGCATTGGCAAATTGGCGAGTATACACGGAGGATCTCAGCAGTTTCAGTATATTTTAAGATAAGGGATGGCGACAGAAGTAAAGCAAAAACCGTAAGGTCTGTTTTGCTAAAGTATCGGATCGGTACTCGGTATTGGCCAATATCCAAAGCCCAGGTATCGGTATCGGTACACAAAAAGTGGAATCGGTGCATCCCTATTAAAAGGGTAAAAGAATATTATCTTTAGATTAATGGTTTCTTTGTATGTGTTGTAGGCTGTTGAGGAATCAGTATGTCGTGGTGAGCGTTCCTGTACTGATGCACAGTTCCTCTTCAGCTCTCCATCGGAAATGCCCCTAAGAGGCCCACTAACAGAGCTGTCTCTCTCCCTCTCCTCCTGCAGATTTCTTTGGGAAGCCACTCCCTCCTGTCACTGCCGACAGGCAGAGGTCTGACAGTGGCCTTCGCAGTGTCATTCCGTACAAATGACTGCTCTTTTGTTTTTTCTTTCAAGCGCGTGGCGTATAGGGAGGTATGCGGGCAGACTGCACTCTGGGATTAGCACAGCACCGCCTCAGCAAGGCTGTACTGACATGGACCTATTGCC